GGAATATGCCTCTATGTGGGTGGATTAAGGTGTCACTGTCAGGTCTCATTATCCTTTAGTGATAAATTATAGAAGAAAGAAGATAGGAAGTGTACAAACTAGTTCAATATTATGCATGAGATTATGCCGCAAATCAGAATCATTATACAAAAACATCATTGGAATATAATCATCTTCAAATTATAAACACTTTATATATGTTATGTTCAGTATTAACTGGAATGGAAACTAGCAGCTGTGATTTAGGGAAGACATTAAGAAAGTCAAATTAACAAAATTAATAGCTTAAAGTACACAACCATGGGATGAGTTTGTAATATAAATGCTAAATTACTGAACACATATGAGTTTTAACAATATTTAAAACTATACAGTAATTTCTTAGGTGAGATTGAACAGAAAAACTTCAAAAAGTTACATAACCAGGGTAAACTACATTACTATCCAATCAAGTTCACCTGTTAAACAGTAACATTACATAACCATCATGAAAAATGTAATTACTTAAGATTCACACAATAACAAGATTATAATAAAAAATAACAGAACATATTAGAATACAAAAAACGGAGAGAAAAAATACAGTGCTTGAGCAAAAAAGAGCAGTCTTGAGAAGCTTTTGGTCTGAATTAGACCATCATCAAGTTGGGTTTTTAGCAAACTCTCATGAGAAGAATAGAATGAAGCTCACAAGAAGGTTCATTTACTATTTTAGCAGAATGAAAATGTTTGTTCTCTATTGTTGATTACTAATTCTAAGAGTATGTAGATCCTTTTACTTAAAAAACATAAAACAAGTAACAAGGTTTCAACTTCATTAGGTCGAAACATTGTTACTTGTTTTGTGTTTTTTTATTAAAAGTTTTTAATGCCTATATCAGCTGTCTCTAATATATATATATATTAGGTTATCAAGAAATTAATGTCGCATTTTGGAACACTTTCATTAACCATCCCCCCAAAAACCGTACATCACGTATAATAGTTAAACAGACTGCCTAAACATTACGCTAGTGTAGCCTATATAATGTGTAAAGTTTAGTATACTCTAATCCCTTATAGTGATTACACATGACGAGACACACATTCGGCATGTAATGCTGTTTGAATACAAGAATGGAAATAATGCCTCTGTAGCCACTAAGGATATCAAAGAAGTTTATGGAAATGTTTTGAATGTTCGTAATTGCCACTGATGGTTCAGCAAATTGCGTTCAGGTGACTTTAGCCATAAAAACTGTGATGGCAGGGGCCGACATGTTGGAATCGAAATTGATGCTCTGAAGATGCTTGTTGAGTCTAACCCAAAGCAACACACTCATGAAATGGCCCTGAAATTGCATGTCTCTCATGAAATAATACTTAAACATTTAAGGAATATGGTAAACTCTTTAAAGAAGGTGTTTGGGTGCCTGATGAATTCTCTGATGATCATCGCTTCCAAGTGTAAATGTTGCTTCATCTCTTCTGGTCCGTAATGCCCGTGAACCATTTTTGGACAGAATTGTCACTGGTGATGAAAAATGGATTCTTTATGCAAATATTAAATTCCAAAAACAATGGCTCAGTCCTAAACAAAAAACCACTTCCAACCCCAAAACCTGGACTCTATCTGCAGAAAGTGATGCTTTGCATTTGGTGGGACATCAAAGGAGTAATTCATTTTGAACTCCTCAGTCCACAGCAAACTGTGAATGCAGAGATCTATAGTCAGCAACTCGAACGTTTAAATGTAGCTCTTCATCAGAAACGCTCTTCACTTGTCAATCGGAAAAGTGTTATTCTTCTCCACAACAATGCATGTCCACATGTGGCACGTTTGACGCAACACAAGATTATGGAGTTGGGTTGGGAAGATCTCTACCACCTACCATATTCTCCAGATATGGCACCATCAGATTACCATCTTTTTCGTTTGCTGCAACACCATCTTAATGCGAAAAAGTATCCAAATATGGAAGGTGTTAAAGAGTAGATCGACATGTTTTTTGCTTCAAAGCCAAGTGATTTCTT